TTGAACTACTTCTTGCATACCGGATTGATGAATTTGTTGGTGTGCAAATCTTGGATGCATCCCAAACCTATTTCGCAGTATGATGAATTGAGCAATGAAGGATTTGCCTCATACATTTTAGAGTCGTAACTTAGCTTCTGCACTATATGCATGTCTCTTTAGCCTTGTGGTATTTTTATTCGGGTACTGCCTATGTGGTACTGGAAATAATATAAGTTCGCCTGAAAAAGATATATTGAGTTTATAGTCGTTTCTTGCATTAGCTCTTTCGCTCCACCCGCATTTAAAGGAAATTAATTATAACACAGAGCAAACTCAGCAATACAATTCATATATCATCACGATATATATTAGGCATGTGTTATTGTCGGTTTGTACAAGCAAACTTTCTTGATTATTGTCATTGCTTGCTAGGTAATTCATATTTTCATAGACATTGTACATTAATCATGAGATTCTCTATCCAAAAAATTTGGTAAAATTACATATGCCCCGTCTTTTACCCATTGTGCCATCACAAAAATAGGGAATCGTCTTTTACCCATTGTGCCATCACAAAAATAGGGAATCGTCGACAATAGGTTCTGCACCTTCCTGGATTTTTTTAGCATTGCTCGTGTACACTGATTCCTAAATTGCAGTAACTGGTACCTAGAATATGAGAAACTATTTTCTTGAACATAGCTTCACTAATATGAGACTATGCATGGATACATCCTTGGTAATGTCATAATCTAGTAGGGGGACATTGGAATGCTTGGTTGCACCTGGTTTGTAGGTTGATGAAGGTTCACCTATCGGAAGCCCGATACAATTCACTGAAAGTTAACTACGAATGGAATATTCTTAGTGAAAACCATGTATTGTGACTTAATTGATTCCGGCCATTGTCAAGATCGTTGCACATTTGGAAGATTAAAGTTCCACTTCGTATTAAAATCTTTATGTGGTTTGTCCATAAAGAAGTCATTCTAACCAAAGATAACTTGGCAAAATGGAATTGGGTTGCCAATTCTAGGTGTTGTTTTTGTGATAAAAATGAAATGGTTAAACACCTCTTTCTCGAATGTCCTCTAACGAAATTATTATGGCGATCGATTCATATAGCTTTTAACGTTCAACAGCCAAGGAGTATAAACTATAAACACGTTATTTGGGATGTGGCTTAATAGAGTGGACGTACACTTAGCTAAACATATTCGGATAGGAGTATGTGCACTACTCTGGTCTATATGGAACACTAGAAATGATATGATTTTTAATGGGACACAATTCACCAATTTTTTGCAGGTTATCTACAGAGCTACATCTTGGATCCGTATGTGGTCCTTACTCACTCATGTGGACTGCGTGGAGCTTATGGTTATTGGGTGCAACCGTTGGGAGACGGTTGCACGGGCTATCTTCAACCGATTTGGATGGCAAGCTAATAATAGGCTAGGTGTGTAGACATCGTAGCTTGTTGTTTTATCGCCGGATGTGGCATTTTTCAGTTCTTTACGCCAGTTGTGGCGTTTTTTAGATTTTATTTCGAATTCTGCTCATTTTATGAGCTTCTTTGAACCTCATGACTTTGTTACGTTTTTATTTAATAATATGGCTGCATGCATCGGTTGATGCAGAGGCCGGGGGGTGGTCCTCCTTTTACAAAAAAAAAAAGAGGTTTATGGACCTTTGGGCATTCCTATTGATGCTCTAGCTATCCCCAAAAAAGAGGTTCGACCGCGGAAATACTGTCTCGTTTTTGCGAAATAACAACCGGGACTACTTGTCCAACTCAGCATACTGTGGTAATTCATTGCACCGGCGCAAGGTTCATGACAACTTAGGGCTCAATTTGTATATGATTTTTGAGGGTTCAATAGTACCATAGGAAATATTCCTTGACGTGTGTTTGGGTTGTAGGAATGAAGACTAGATGATTTCTTTTCCTTTTTGAATTAATCTGGGTACAATTAGACGGGAAAGCTTAATTAAGAACACGATAGGTGGTGCACGCACACCTCCATACCAGGCAAAGTGAGCGGCAGAACGGTGACATCAATTACATGTGGGAACACAGTCTTGAGGCAGAAGTGGTAGTCACGGGTCACGGCGGTATGGTCTGGCTTTTGCTTCCCAACGCGTGATGTTGGTCCAGTTATCAGCACTAGTAGCATAAAGAAGAAGAGATGTGGTGATTCCAAAGTGGTTATCCCGACTGCAGTCAGATGGTCTAATGCAGGGATTGAGGGAGGGGATATTAAAGTTCCTGGTGCCTCTCGTTCCTGTACATTTGAGATTGCCAAACGTAATGCCGGGAAACCAAGCAAGTCAACATAAACAAGGTAAACAAAGGGATGAAGGGAAGCAAGAATGCATGCCATCTGAGCTTTCGTATTTATCCTCTCTTCTGTTTGAGATAAGCTATTGCCGAAAGATACATGTCAGTTCAATGCCACGCATCACATGGGATGGGAGGCTCCAGCTTTCAATGCAAACTTATGACGGTACTGCCATACATGTCAAGCATAAACTTGGTGTCCTTTTTGTGTGTGATGGAAACACAAAGATCAGGGAGCTGATAAAACTACCAAAAACCTCACGCCACACGTCGATGCCGGAAGAAAATGAGTTAACCATCAACTTGGAAGGCTTAGACTGTGTTTGACATTGCAGTGGACTATCACAATCCCATTTGCTCAACGTGTTTATGCCTGTGTAGTTTTTTGGACTAATTTTCCGTGGCAAATTATGTATTTGTCTCTTATATATGTATAAATAAAAATTAGCATCGGCACACTCGTGCATATCCGAGAAGAAAAGTAGCATTGCATCACACAGTTTAACAACCACAAACCGAGCCTTGCTGGAGTAATTTTCCATGCCTCATGCCCCATTATTCCCTCTCGTTATCCTCCTTCATCTTCTCCTGCTAGAAATCCGTAGCATCCATGCCTTGCAGCACAGCCAGACCGACACGAAGAAAGGGTCATATCGTCACAGGAGCGACCGGTCCCTAATCGTGGAGGCTCATGACACGTCCTTTCCTTCCCGGGTTGTCACAACCATAGTTCAAGGGCGAAGGACATTTGGTGAAGCCATAAAGGATGGTCGAGGACAAGGTTTAGGTTGCTCCCTCGAGACAATGTCGTCGATGTCCCTCCTTCGCCGGCCATCACATGTTGCCATCATCCACCAGCCTCTGCCCACGACCTGCGTGAAGGAACAACACATTGTGACGACGAAAGGGAACGTATCGGAAGAGAGTAATAGACGAGGGAGACACATGGCTCTTGATCCTTTCTTAAGGCCCGACCCGAGATTTCTTTTGTAGAAATTTGAGACTAGAAAGAGGGGGACCCAGGAGGGCTTGCCGATCAAAGAAAGAAAGAGGGCAAACCAAAGGCGTTGGTACTGAAAGTCTCTTGATATTCATTTCCTTTGGGCGCCCCCTGTCTCTCCTTTATGTACAGCACAACTCACTGCAGTTTAGACTGGGTTTTTCTTGGTTAATAACACTAGCCACCGGTGCCACCCGGGAATCTTCGCAAAGTGTCGGCTACATCTACCATCAGACCGCCACCGGAACCATCCATATATTTATTCTCAAAACTGTAATTCTGCTCGTTTTGCGATTGCTTGCAAGAATAATATTCGTTATCAAGTTGACTCTGCTTTGTGTACCGTCAGTAACCTTCATGTTTTTTTTTTTGGAGTTAGTAACCTTAGAGAGATGGCTTACTGATTTGCTATCGCAGCGTCTCAGTTTCGTCACCACTGTCCACCAAATCAACGTTGCAATTGTGCATGTTGTTACTACTAGAGCATTTAGCGTGCAAGCCACAGTGTATGGTTACGGTTAACCGTTGAAGTGAACTTATGAATATAATATTCATCTCAATTAGATCACAATTTCTTGGAGTTGTGGTTATCTTAACATATCTTCTTGGGTTTGACATATGGGCTGGGGTGGAGCGTGTGAAGTGAACGCCAATATTGTTTGATCATGTCTGCTTGTGTAGTATAGTAATGTCGCAACATCTGTCCAGCCTTTTGTAAAGGTCTGCATTCCTGAGGCATGTGAGTTTCAAATGCTTGGTTGTTGTCTCTGGGTCGTAGTATGGGGGGTCGTGTGATCAAGGTTGCAAGTTCCATAGTACAGACATTATAAACGGGGTAATAAGCTGAGTACTGGTTGTCAGATCGGAAGTCCTTTTTTTTGTTCCAGTGATGGTGCTTGTACATTGGCCATCAGGTATATTAGTCTTGTATTAGTAAAGCTCATTTGGTATTGCTAACTGCTAGTATTTAGCAGAAGCCAGTTCATGTGCCATCAATTTTACAAACAATTCTCTAAGAATGCACAATAGTTAATAAATATTTATATTTAGATATCCAAAACGTGATAAATGGGATAATAACTTGGATACATGATTCATTAGTTCGGAAGTTTCTTTTGTCAGGTGATGATGAATGTATGTTGGTCGTCCTTTAGAGCCTACCTTTCTTGTGACCCACATGGTTCGTCAGGCATATTAGCTCACTGTATAAGTGTTGTGTATTATTTTGTATTCTGCCTACAAAAACGCCATATATTTTGGTACGGAGGGAGTAGTAGTTAGCAGAAGGAAGTTCAATCAATTTCACAAATAGTTGTCTCAATAACGTGTGTTTATATTTAGATATACAAAACTGTTCACAACTGACATAAGAATGTTATCATGGTAGTATTCTTGACGCACTCGTGATGTTTTCATGCCATTGATCAGTTGTCCAGTATACAATTCAACTTATGAATATAAAAATATTCATCTCAATCAGATCACAATTTCTTGGAGTAGTGGTTATCTTAACCTAAGCCTCAAGCCCTCAACCATCATGGTTCCATGATATTTACTCTATGGCATGAAAGGCACACAGCTTACAATGTTGCAAAGGGAGGGCTAACAACAGGAGACAATAAAAACGAAGAAAAGAGGGGCTAGGTTTGGAAGTAAAACCTCCAGATTGGCTAACAATTACTGTAATTCGCCTGCCTTGACCTCAAATTCTTCTCTGGTAGACAGAATCTTCACACGAACCATGCCTCGCTCCCACTCAGATTTCCCAACCAGAACCAGCCTGCTAGCATTTACCCTCTCCGCATGTTTAAACACCCATTTCAGACGCTTGTCTTGCACAAGGTCTACAGATCTGCCATTCTTCCGCAGAGAGGATGTGACACAGGATGCCGGTCCCTGAAGCTCACCATCCAACGGGAAGACAATGTCGTCTATTTGGCGCGACAGATGAGGCAGAAGACCCTTCTCCTTCAGCAGTTCGACGATAACAGCGTCCCCAAACCCAAATCCACAGGCTGGCACATCTTCACTTCCAAATGTTGAAAGCAGCCTATCATACCTCCCCCCACCGCAGATCGCCCTGAGCTCACCTTGCCTATCAAAAGCCTCGAACACGATCCCCGTGTAGTACGCAAGGCCGCGAACAACCGACGCGTCGAAACAGATCCAATCGGCGTAACCATAGTGCTCGGCGAAGGAGAAGAGCTTCTTGAGGTCAGCAACAGCCTCAGCAGCACCAGAGCCCAGCACCTGTTCGAGCTCAGACAGCGACTTCAGAGAAAGCACATCAATGATGCCCTGCACAGCTTCAGATGGCAGCCCGGTGGAGATCAATTCCCTCTCAATCTCGTCTCTGCTCATCTTCCCCAGCTTGTCAACAATCACACAGACCTGGGTGAACAGGTGCCGCGGCACGGAGTGCATGTCGAGCACCACCTGGAGAACCTTCCGGCTGGACAGCCGGATCCCCACGTCGGAGGACGCGACCCCGAGACGCTCGAAGAGGAGGACAATGGCCTGGATAAGCTCGGCCTCGGCGCGAACGCCAGGCACGCCGAAGACGTCCATGTTCCACTGGTAGTGCTCGCGGCGCCTCCCTCTGGTCATGCGCTCGTAGCGCCAGCACTGGCCGATGGTGAACCACTTGAGCGGGAGGGGCGCCGAGGTCCCCCGCCGGATGACCAGGCGCGCGAGGGACGGGGTGATCTCCGGCCGGAGGGCCACGCGGCGGCCGCCCTTGTCCGCGAAGCTGTAGAGCTGCTCCGCGATCTCCTCCCCGGCCTTGCGGACGAAGAGCGCCTCCGACTCGAGCACCGGGAAGTCCACCTCCTCGAACGCGATCAGCCGGGACACCTCCCTGAAGTGGTCGAAGAGCCAGGTGCGCAGGCGCATCTCCTCCGGCGGGAAGTCCCTGGTGCCGCGCGGCGGGTTCAGCTCCACCACCCCCGGCCCCGCCGCCGCGGGGCCATGGCCGCCGTGGGTCGGCGCCAAGGGAGGGGAGGAGGAGGAGGAGGCGCAGAGAAGGCGGCGGCGGGCGGGAAGGCGGAGGAGGTGGCGGCGGAGCGCCGCCGACGACATTCTCTCCCAAGGCCAAGGGGAACAGACACAAACAGGGGTTCGTGCTGCTCCGGCCCATTCATTTCGAAATGAGGCCCATGACGAGCCCACTGCTCCTCTCCCCATCCCCTTGCCGTCTCCTCCGCCGCCTCTTCTCCCGCGCCCCTCGCCGCCGGAACCCTACGACCCCGCGGCCCCTCGCCCCGCACCTCGGCCGCCGCCTCCCCCTCCACCTCCCGGCCTCCATGTCCTCCTCCAGTGTCGGGACCCCCGACTGCGTCGTCGCCGACGCCGACGCGCTCGCTCGCAAGGTCGCCGCCATCCGCGCCGCCGGCCCAGCTAAGCTGCAGGTTCGCTCCCTCGTCGGTCTCACCGCCTCCGTGGCATCTATCTATGGCTTTTGCAGTCTAACTAGGGTCTTCCATTGGTGTAGGTGATTGCCGACTTCGACGGCACGCTCACTCGGTACTGGTACGACGGCTCCCGCGGCCAGAGTACGCTCCTCTTCTGCTGATTTCTCTTCAGACTTGGGAGCTTAGGACTTCAGAGGTTGAATTGTTATGTGTGTGTATGTGTGGTCGTAGGTAGCCATGGGCTGCTCAGACAGGGGAACGAAGAGTTCGACGCCAAGAGGGAGGCGCTGTTCGAGCACTACCATCCCATCGAGATCAACCCCGACATTCCGCTGCCAGAGAAGGCCAAGCTCATGGAAGAATGGTGAGTAGTAGCGGCAGTAGGAACTAGGAAGTCTTCCACAGCAAAATGGTCTGGTCCTTCTTGCAATGCTGGTCGGATATCCCGTTCTGTTACGGTGAACAGGTGAAGTGAATATACCACCTTCTTGGGTTTGACATATAATCTGAACACTGATATGGTCTGTTCTGCTTGTCCATATGTTGGGTACATGATTGTTTATAGTTCTGAAGTCTATTTACGTTTTCAAATGATGGTGCTTGTACATTGGTCCTTCTTTAAAGCTAGTTTTCTTGTGACCCACATGGTTTGTCAGGCCTAATGGCTTTTTGTATCAGTGTTGCATATTATTTTGTATTCTGATGCCTCTTACTCCCTCCCTTTACTATTATAAGATGTACCAACTTTTTTCTAAATCGGATGTATGTAGACACGTTTTAGTTTGATTGTTCACTCATTTCAGTTTGTATGTAGTCCATATTTAAATATCCAAAACATCTTATATGGTAGTTTTCTTGATGTGCTTGTGATATTTTCAGGCCATTGATCTGTTATCCAGTATATGATTTCACTTCTGAATAAAATATGCATTTCAACTAGATATTCTGTGCTTTTCAAAAAAACAAACTAGATATTCTGTGTAGTGTACCTTGGCCTCTGATTTCATTACTTGCTACAGGTGGGGGAAGACTCATGGTCTCCTTATTGAAGGAGGGCTTACACAAGAAGCTATAAAGAAATCGGTGGCTGATGCTGCAATTGCTTTTCGAGATGGAGTGGTGGAGCTGTTCGAATTCTTGGAGGTTTTGTTTCCTTTTCTCATGTTTGCTTAGTCCAATTTTAGTGACCAAGGGCTATACTAATTGTTTGATAGGAGTACTCAACCGGAACATGCATAATTACTTTTCCCCTCATTATTTTGGTACAGGTTAAGCCCATTGGTAACTATCTTGTTTTATTGCAACTTTTTTTTTGGGTTTCTTTCCTTGTGATGAATTTGTCGAATAGTGACTCCCTTTTATACAGCATCTGTGTAACTACTTTGAATGTTTCTCTTGTGCACTTCGTCATTACTTTTGTCCACAAGCATACGTGTGCTGATTGGAAGAAGAGTCATGGGCTGCTAGTCATGCGCGCACGCCCTTCCAGGCATTTAAGTATACCGAACAGCATATTGGAAACATTCATATGAGCATAAAAGACCTAGACTTTAAGTTATCTATTTTGCCGTGGGCTGCTTCTTGTTTTTCCCATCTTCTGTTTATATCATCAGATGAATTTTCATATCCTATGCGCATGCCATTTTAGGCAACAAAGAATATGCTGTTTCCTTGAGTTTTCTGGCGCTTGTTTCATTTGTTTGTTTGTTTCACATCCGTTGGTAATGAAGTGATATTACTAGTAGATCTAGTTGGCTTGCCTGTGGTGGTAACTGATTATAATATTTTTGGTTGATGGGAAGAAGGAATTACTATTATGCCTATAGTCTAATAAAACCCTAGAAATGTCAAAGTCCAGTACGGTAAGTGACTGATAGAGTCTTTAAATGTATCTTTCAGGCTAGAGATATTCCAGTGTTAGTCTTTTCGGCTGGACTTGCAGACATAATTGAGGAGGTAAGTTCTGAAAAGAATGGTACCAAATATTAAAATGAACTTCATTGCAGATGACACGCCTGCTCTCTATTTTAGGTCTTCCGGCAGAAACTCCACCGATCATTCAAAAACATCAAGATTGTCTCCAACAGGATGGTCTTTAACGAAGAGGGTTGTCTTGTAGCATTTAAAGGTGATTTTTAATCCTCACAAAATGTTGATGATTCACGAATTGTTTCTACCAAATGCTAATGCAGGATATATGTTGATAATATCCAGCTTACAATAAATTGTAGTTTCATGCAGTTGTCCTACATTTAACAAATTCTTTAACTTATGAAAATACTATGTGATATTTGAAATCTCTGAGATCCAAAAATATGTGTGTTGGTTTGCTGTTTCTTGACTCTTTCATTGGACTTTCGTCTAAGATCATTTTTTCTTTGTAAAATTGTGTATTCCTGTCGACATGGATACCTTTATCCCTTTCTCCTCAACAGTCTATTCAAATTGTCACTATAAACTGTAAGTAGGTATGCACTTTGCTTGCCTTCTAATTATATCATAGAATCTAAATAAACGTCTAATGCAGGGAAGACAATCCATGTTCTAAACAAAAATGAGCATTCCTTGGACATGGCAGCTCCGGTGCATGACAGTCTGGGGGATCCAAACGGGTCTGTTGATGACTATTCATTGGTGAAAAAGAGGACCAACGTGCTGCTACTTGGAGATCACATTGGAGACCTGGGAATGTCTGATGGTTTAAACTACGAGAACAGGATTGCTGCTGGATTCCTGTACGTGAATTTCTAATTAACTTGCCTTCTGCTTGTTTCATTCAAAGTTAGCCGGGAATTACAATTAAGGACAATTAATAAACATATTGGGAATACTCCTTTTTTTTATTCTGGTCATGTCTATATTCGATGGATTTGGTTATTTGGAGTATATCATGTTTTAACTTTGAAAATGTGAGGTCAACTCTTGCTGATGCTGAAATTGATTAGTTATTGCTATAAACCGAGTAAATTACTAAACAACACGATGGGTTATAATGTGAGGTCAACTCTTGCTGATGCTGAAATTGATTAGTTATTGTGATAAACCGAGTAAATTACTCCCTCCGTCCGAAAAAGCTTGTCCCAACCGAAAAATGGAAGTTTTTTCGGACGGAGGGAGTACTAAACAACACGATGGGTTATATACATATTTTGTCTATTCTACCCTTTTTTTTCTGTTGTATACTCTTATGGGCTTGTTCGGTTCCATGGGATTTGAAGGGGATTGAGAGGGATTAAATCCCCTACAAATCAAAATCCTCCTCAGTTCCCTCTAATCCTCCCCAATCCCCTTGTTTACGGGGATTAACCAAACCCTAAGGGGGTGTTCTAAGCTTAAACAATCCTGACTTTGCTCTACCCATGCCGTAGTTTCCAAAATTCCAGCTGAACTTCTCCCGATTAAATAGAAGTAGCTTATTTTGTTGACAGAAATGTGATTAGATGCATCATCTCCATTAATTCTTTGCAGAGTTATATAATTCACAAGCTGTCGACATGAATTGCTGTCTTTTCTTTAAAGTAAAGTTTCTTTGCAGTTGCATCAAAGCTGAGCGATCACAAGAAAGCTCATGTTTGTGCTGTACTGGTTTCCTTTTAGCCAATCCAGGCCAAAATTTGATCACGTCACATGAAAGTTCCATGTCACTAATCAACATTAAATAAACCATTTTCACCAAGGAAAACAGATATTCTTCTTATCAAACTTCAACTGCTAATTTTGGAAAGCAGGCTGCTTTGTTCAACTCCCGTTTAATAACAGGTGTGAGTGATGAGATTCGGTTTCCTACAGATTTATGCATCAATTGACAAACAACCGGTTTTGCAGGAATACCAACATCGAGAAATCTCTGAAAGATTACTCCGAGGCATTTGACATTGTTTATCTGGTGAGATGGTAGTTTTGCACAGTGCAATTACTTTCGGTTATCATGGTTATCCACCTTTTTAGTGCCCAGTTCTTACATCATATGCCTATGGTGACTTAACTCTGCAGAATGACGCGTCGATGCGGGGAGTTGTTGAGCTTGTGTCTGATCTGTGTCCTTAACCGAGTCATCTTTAGCTGAACCTAGCACCCTGAAATCTGGGTGTTTATCTATGCCCGAAACTTTCTAACTTGCTAAGCTTGCTTCATGAGAAGCACTTGTACAGCTAGGCAGCGGCCTGTGTGAAATGATTATGATGTACTGTACCTAATTCCTAGGTATGTTCTAAATACATCCATTTTTATGCATTTCTCCGACAAGTATTTCCGGACGGAGGGAGTATGAAATTTGTTCTACTACTCCCTCCGTCCCAAAATAAGTGTCTTGAGCTTAGTACAAATTTGTACTAGAGCTAGCACAAAGTTGAGACACTTATTTTGGGACGGAGGGAGTATTATTTTTTATGCTGCCTATGTGCTATGTCACAGGACAAGAGGCCGTAGTCGCTCACAAAATAGTAAATACTACTATGCCAGCTTTACTCCACAAAGATTGTGAAGGGCACATTCAGACATAGTATAAAACTAGGAGAAAAAATAACATTATATTCCTTCTCCAACACATTCATTGTGGGCACCAATTGGCCGTCCAGCTCGGTTATGCGTGTCCTGGCTGTTACATCACTCGTGAGCTAATCATATTCTGACCAAGTATGAACGACTATGACAAATTTTCAAATGCACTATTATATTCAGACAAATCAAAGGTTTTTCTAGCGGCAAAATTATATAAAAATCAGCATGTGACGAAAACGAGTTACTACAAATTTAAAACTCAGGCCCGCGATACCGATGTTCTCTGCCGAAAATTCCAAGTTTGCCCTGCAAATTAAGAAAATAAAACCTGTATTCATCAAAAGGCATATGTTGAAGAATCAACTGCCATTTAACAGTATCACGAGCTGGCAAGATCACATGACGACCCAGAAAAAGATTGGAGGATGCTTTTGGTCCACATTTCGCAGCAGCTCGTGCGTCGCATTCACTGAAGATGTACTTCACGCTGGTGACAGCTTTGGTTCCGGTAACCCGGCATGCCTGGACGATACCTCACCGTCAAGAAGCCACGGCCAACGCCCAACAGCACCAACACGAGCCAAAAAGTTTCAGCAACAGCAACAACACGAGCCAAAAAGTTTCAGCAACAGCAACAGACGGCTCAGAGTTTCAGCAATCTCTGCTCCTCACACCAGGTTTGCATACAGAAACAAGGTCAAAACTTAAGTAACATGACGGCATTCCTCATCGATTGGTACAAGGGTTATGCGCGATTACAAAGATCGGTCGGTTAATACAAGATAGGCAGGAGCGATCGCCTCTTTGTACAAAATGCAGGCGGGTGGCTCCGATGCCGGTGATGATGGGGGAAACCTATATTAGTCAGGTCATATTAGA